TCATTCAAATATTTGTGGAGTAAAATTTATCACAAAGTTCCTTTTCACAAAGCCCACACTACATTCCCAACAAAGTGACATTTGCACTGAAGAAAATTTGCCAAACTCTGTTATTTAAGAAAGGAGTTTTCTGAGTTTTGACCTGACTCACAGTTTCTACTAGGTGCTTTCTAATGAATTGGTTGTTTCACTTTAAATCACATAATCTCATTTCCTGGTCACAGGTGACTAAACCCAATTGAGCACCTGACCCAAAGGCAGTCATCTATAGTTCAGCCAGCAACTTTTAAGGATGCTGGGCACAGGGCTTTTATCAACATGGGTGGTTTAAACTGAATTGTGGTAGGCAGGCCAAGTTATATCCTCTCTTGGGTAGTTTGAATTTAAGAAAATCAGTCAGTTAGCTAGTAGGGGTAGGAACAGCAGAAACAAAAGCAGAGAATAAATGAGACACAGAGTCCTAGGGTGCTGTCTTCATTGTTCTGATCGTGGGGTTGCTAAAAATACTTCCTCTTTCCCTTTCTTTCCCCATCTTTAGGCTAAAAGACCATTAGCTGAGATAGCCTGTCTCTATCTCCATTTCTTCTGTGGGAAATAGTCTAACCATACATGATGAGAAGCCTATGCTCTTATTCAGAATGTGAGAACACAGTTGTTTAACCAGGGGAGAAGTGCCTCTTCAATAGCATGCAAACTCAGTGGAGACGCCTACTGGGAGTCAACTATAGGTAGTACAGGGCAGGCTGGCAAAACAACAGCTTAGGCAGTTTCTTAAACTATTGTAGGAACTCCTTGGTTAATAACTACAGAAGAAAATGGCTCTAGGTGAGAATTTTTCTTTAAAGAATCTTTGAAATATGCTGACAATTTTAGTTCTGAGCATATTATTTTCCCTGGCTGACAACCAAATAAAAATAATGAGGAAATTAATTATAGAAAGAAGGTGATAGGCGGAAGGAGAGAGCACAGGGACACCCATGAAGCCAGATCTGTTACAATTTTAGCTAACTACGGAAACAAAGCTATATAGGGAACAATGGAAAACCAGGAGAAAGGTTTTGATGGCATGTCCCCTAGTCTAAGTCTACCATAGAGTCAAAATGCAACCACTCTCTAGGGTGTTTATTAGAAGGGAGGAGCAGGAAATAGCACCTAGGTCATTTTAAGTCCACAGAAGTGAGAAGAAGAAATAGAATACTGACATCATACATAACACCAAGTCAATCACTGGTCAGGGATGCATTTTGCATGAGGGAGAAAAAAGTAAGTTGAGATGCCAAAGATATACAGAATTTGCCTACAGTTGTCTGGAAAGGCTCAGTAAATGCTGAGCATTTGAGAATGTAGCACAAGAGAAAAGCATGTTTGTTCTGTAGTGTGAGAATTATTATTATTATTTTTTAATATTCTTTAATTTTAGAACCATTTTAGATTTGCAGAAAAATTAAGCAGAGAGTATAGAGTTTTCATACAACCCCAAACCCAGTTTTCCTTATTATTAGCATCTCACCTTAGTATGGTACATTAGTTATACTTAATGAACCAAATATTGATACATTATTATTAACTAAAGTCCTGTCTGTCAGGATTTCATCTCCTTTTACTCAGTGTCTTTTTCTGTTCCAGAATTTCATCCAGGACACCACATTACATTTAACGTTGTTTCTTTAGGCTTCTCATTCTTTTTGAGTCAGAGTCTCACTGTCACCCAGGCTGGAGTGCAGTGGCACTATCATGGCTCACAGAAACCTTGACCTCCCACTCAGGTGATTATTCTGCCTCAGCCTCCTAAGTAGCTGGAACTACAGGCGCATGTTACCACACCTGGCTAATTAAAAAAATTTTTTTTTTTTTGTAGATGAGGTCTTATGTTGCCTTGGCTGGTCTCAAATGCCTGAGCTCAAGCAATCCTCCTGCCTTGGCCTCCCTAAGTGCTGAGATTACAGGTGTGAGCTACCACACCTGACCTCTTTTATTGTTTTTAATGAACTTAGCAGTTTTTATGTCAAAGTGTTGGTGACCTTGAGGAGTACAGGCCAGGTATTTTGTTGGCTACTAGGAGAATTTATCTGATGTTTCTCTCATGATGTGATTAGGATTATGGATTTTGGGGAGGAAGATCATAGTATTATTTTCATCATATCATATCAGGGTTAAATACTATCAGTATGACTTATCACTGTTGATATTTACCTTAAACACCTGGCTGAGGTAGTGTTTGTCAGGTTTCTTCACAATAAGGTCACTCTTTTTCTCCCTATTTGAAAGGACTATGCACTGCCCATATTTAAGGAGCAGGGAGCCCTCTCCTTGACAGTCGAGTATCGACATGAATTATCTGGAATTTTTTTGCATGGGAGAGATTTGTCTCTTCCTCCTCATTTATTAACTCATCCAATCATTTATTTATATCAGCATGGACTCATAGATATTTATTTTATAATCACAATAATCCAATACTATATTTTTGTTGCTCAAATTGTTTCATCTTTGGCCATTGGTAGCTCTTTTGGTAGTGTTTTATTTGTTTTTCAGTTGGCGCTTATGCTCCTTTGACAGACTCATTCAAATATGGTAGTGTTTTGTTTGTTTTTGTACTTCCTTACTTGTTGACACTAGAACATGCTCTAGGCTCATCTTGTATATTTCCTGTCCTTGTCCTAGAGTCAGCCATTTTTCCATGGAACCCTGGTTTCTTTTTATTGGAAATGGTATTAAAAACTACTGTGATTTTAAATTGACATTCTATTAGAAATACAAAGATCTGGGTGTTAGGTGTAATTGTTGCTACTGGGGGGCCATTTCTTTTAAATCCTCCCAGCTGATAAAGAAATATATCTGCGTATATTAATTGTGTATATACACATATATATAATTATTTTTATAGTAGACATCTGTATTTATATTAAACTAAACATAAGTTCTCAGTAATGTCTTCAACTGAGATCATTACCACATGAACCATTCTAGCCTCTTCTCCCTTGCTGTTAATTCCCACTTTAACAGTGGGACAACTGGTTCCCACTATCTGCCATCCACTTATTTAGTTCTTCAATTTTATTATACATATATAGTAGATTGAGAATTGTTAACCTGTACCCCTATGGAGGGTGGCTTTATCAACTACAGTATAATCTTATGTACAGATCATTTTGCCTTTAGTCTCATAGACTCCACTCATTTCTAAATTTACTTAGGTTAGCATTCCTTCCCCTGCCCTTTAGTAGGGTTGTAAGAAAATGAAAAGATGGAGAAGTAATTTATGGATTAAAAGAGACTTAAAGACATATCATACTTTTATAATGGAAGACTAAATTATACTGACTAGGAAAGTATATTTAAATAGTGAAACTTGAAAAATAAAGCAAGGAAGTTATTACTATAAAAAATCATAAAAAAGTAACTTCTACTTCAGGGCAGATAAAGTAGAAATTGGATATACTACCCCACCTGAAACAAACAAACAAACAAACAAACAAACAAAAAACCCCAACAAAACAATATAGAGAACAATGGTTTAGAGATGATAAGACTGATCAATGGATTGATAGTATCAATGCAAACTTATACTATATTTTATCTTAACACAAAGTCTTTTACTAAGGCTAGAAATAGGGATTAACTCACATCAGTGAACACCCCTAGAGGTCAGATTGTGATATCTAAATACCATTTCACTCTAACAAATACCAGGACTTTTGGAGAAATGGCTAATTTCAGATGTGGCACTCTTTTCTCATCTAAAACTTAAGATTCTCTTCCAAGCTTGTTCCTGTTATTGGCAGAATTCAGAATTATACTGAAATTCAGTTTTACATGTATATCCCAGATTAAAAATCCCCTAGAAAAGTGGTCAAGTAACAAAATGAGATTCCCATTTTAGAAATACCATTCTGATAGCAGTGTCGAGAATGGGGTGTGTGTCAGGGGTGTGGAGAGCAGTTGCATAGGTAGGAGGATACCAGTGAAAGGGCTTAGTAATGATTCAGGTTGCATATGAGGAGGGCCTAATTTAGGACAGTAGCAGCAGGGAAAATATAAAGGAGGCTGATTTGCTAGCTACTAATAGGCAGCAGTCGTCTCAGGTCTTGGTAACTAGAGTGCAGGGTGCATGTGTTACAGAGGAGGCAGAGCTGCAAACAAGTATCTTGGTGCCAGAGATAAGTTGTGGAAAAGAAGGCTCATAGTTGTGGAGAGGGGCATGGGAGGACATATAACCTGTGAGCAAACTCTCTCACACCCACAGACATCCTGGAATGATCAGGTGAATTTGACATGCCCTCTGTAGGCGGGCGTACTATTTCGGGTTACTCATAGTCCTCCTAAATCTGAACTGCAGTCCTCTAAGGATTTCTTGAGTAGCTAGTAATACAGAAGCCCCCCTTCCGCCTAGCCAGTAAGAAACCCGCAGAGAAATCTGGTGTGAAGTGAGGTCCCCAAGCAGGGAAGGAGGCACCTAGTAAGTATGCGCGAATCCCGGTTAACAGATTATACTGATTCAAGAAACGGGACACTGATTTTTCTTTTTTTAATTGTGCGGTGAGTAGAATCTTAAAGCGTAGTGTAACGTGGAGAACGAACTATTCAGGAAATCAATTCTTCCCTTTGCGAGGCTAGAAAACATTAAAAAAAAATGTGGACAGGCAGACATGGGCCCAGACTGGGCCGACAGGAGGCCGGTGGCCAGGTCTGTTGAGGAATAGCAGAGGGGCAGGAGTCCACGTCAGCGTCTTCCCAGGGACGCTCAGCCAAAGGAGGGCCGGCTCGCTACCAGCCAGGCAGGTATCTTCCTCGCTCGACTCGTACGCCCCCCCGCTCTGCGCTTGCTCAGCGGCAAGCGGTGACCATAGAAGGCCCGGAGGTTCCATGACTACTTCCCAGACCCCGCCCCTTCCTCAGGACCAAGGAGGAGCGTCGTGCGCGTTCACGTCGGGGAGAGCGCTGAAGCTCCGCCCCCAATTTCTGCCTCCGGTTCTCTCCCTCTGCTTCACCTTTCTGCCCCGGACCCATTTCGGATACGCCGCCCACGCGCCGCGCAGTCGGGGCCAAGAGCGCGAGAGCGTGCGCACGTCAGCGTGGCCCCGCCCCGCCGCGGAGAGACCCCGCCTTTCCGCCCCGCCCCCGCCGGCCTGCCCTCCTCCTGCTGCCATCCTGGCGCTGAGGACTGGGGCGCTGGCGCGCGCTCCGCGACTATGGAGATCCCCGGGAGTCTGTGCAAAAAAGTCAAGCTGAGCAATAACGTGCAGAACTGGGTGAGTGGGGGCAGAGGGTGAGAGGGCGAGGAGCGGAGGCGGCTCTGGGAGCAGCTCGTTCCGGAGCCCCTGATTCTCTCGTCTCCTCCGCATCCTCTCGAGAGCGCGAGGTGGATTCCGGGTCCGCGGCGGCTCCCAGGTGGGGCGGTGGGTGCTGCGAGGCTGGGTGGCACGGCACAGGGTGGGGGTCTCGGCCTGGGTGCTGTGTGCGGTCTGACCCATCTCCTGTGGGAAGAACGCTCTCTTCCCCAGCGCCCGGGATCAAATAAGACCTCCAAGAGAATCCTTCGCCAGTGAGCTGGCGGCGGCTGAAACCTGCGGCTCAAAGCTGCGCCCCCGGCGAGAGGGAGCTGCCTGCATCCCCTGGAGTGGCCCGAAGTTCTGCAGAAGAGGCAGAGGCGGGCGCCTTCCATGCGTTCCCAGTTTTTCTTAGCTCTGCCAGCTCAGTTGGCCCAAACCTGGGTCCATCTCCATGGCTTTCCATTTCTGAGTTTCACTGTGAAGGGAGATCACCCAACAATGTGGCCATTCATGAGTTGAGGCTGCCTTGAACTGAGGTTCTTTGTGTCTTGTTAAATTGGAATGTCTAACTAATAAGAGTTCTAAAGACTCCGTTTCTGGTGACAGTAAGGTGTGGCAAGATTATTGATTTATAACGTTTAGCAACGACTGCCAGTTGACTTTGTCAAGTGCTGTGTCTTCAGAAGGTTGCTTCCTTCCTGAATGACTGTGGTAAGAAACAGTCTTATCTTAGATTTTAAGTGCAGACCAGGGATGGGATGGGGGTCCAACTTCGGAGTTTAGATGGCAATTTTTATTACACAGGCCAATAGAATCGTGAGGTTTAAATGCCGTCTTCCAAATTATCTGTGAGTCCTTGGTGAGTCAAGGAAAGGAAAAGAAGCAATTTCAGGCAAATGTTCTTTTGAAATAATCAATTTACCATAGCTGTTGTTATCATCAAGGATTTGTTCACTGATTCAATTCCTCTTTCCTTTTAGTTATTTAACTCCTCCATAGGAGATAAGGAGGGAAAGGAGATAAAAGGTGAATTAGAACAGAGGAAAGAGCACTGTATTCCTGGTCTGGTCTCCAGACTCAGATTTGCCATCAATTAGCTGTGTGATTTTGAGAAAAGTCACTTATTTGAATGTCAGCTAACTGAAGGGTGTAATAATGTGCACTTCATAGGGTTGTTTTGACAAGCAGACAATAATTGAAAGTGCAGTCATATCACTGCCTTGAGACTCAGACCCAGTATTGCTCCTGTTACCTTAAAATATTTCATGATTAGGGAGGTCAGGTTGGCTAAATTGGGGTATTTGTAGATAATTTCAGTTACACAATCCATTTATTTATGCACTTATTTATTTCCATTTGCCACACTAGTGTGTAATCTATGTGGGGACCTGTGCTAGATAAAGATGAAAAATGTGTGACTCAGTGCTTGCCTTCTGGTTGTTCCTGTGTTGGGGTTATAAGTGGCATTAGCCAGGTGATGAATATGTCTTTGTGGATCACAGTGAATGGCATAAGGCAGAGGTTTTGTTGCAATTTAGAGGAGAGATTAGTTTCACTTGGATGTTTTATTTTGAAATGATAGTATTTGGGATATATTGGTTTAAATAAATCATTGACAATCATTTCACCTGTGTTTATGGAGGAACTCAAATTTCTGGGGCAGAGGAGAAGTGTGTGGATAAGGGAATTAAAATTATTATTTTTTACTCCAGGAACAATGAAGAGACTTGTTTGACTACTCTGGAGAGTGTTTGTTGGGAAGTGGAGATAAAGTTGAATAGGCAGGGTGGGACGAGGTTATGCCGTTGTGAGTGTTTGGCTGCAGAACTAAGACTTGATTCTGTGGAAGATTTTTGATGGGGTTAGAATTTTTAACGTTCTGAGCCTTGCAAATCTTTCCTCTCTCTAGTAAGTACCCACTATCTCTCCCTTTCACATACTTGAATGAATTGATCTGGGCAAGTGTGAAGAACCCATCTTTCTTTAAAGTTCCCATCACAGGATAAAATTGGTAATCCAGGAAGACTGATTTCCTGAAGAAATGCAGACACTGTTAGAGCCCACATGTGGAAATCCTAAAGACCAGACAGGGTTATAGTGAGCTTAAAATTAACTAATAGATTTGAAGTCTGCCTGGCACATGAGCACTGTTGATGTTCTTGCTATTAATTCAGCCAGTGTGAAGGGGTGAAGGGCTGGCCTAAGCTGGCAGTGGGAATAGAGGAATAGCTGCAATAAAAACATTTAAGGAAGAGTAGAGAGGAACTGACTAGACTTAGGAGATGAAAAAGGGAGAAGTGTTGAAAGATAAGAGTTTTGATCCTGGGAAGTGGGGAGAAAGGTTGTTACCTGCAGGGAAATTAGGAAGTGGGTTAGGGAGGGGTAAAGGAGATAATAATTAAACCCCCAAGAAGAGTTTACTTGGTGCCAGAAACAATTTGAAATGTTTTACCTAAATCAACTTACTGAATTGTTGCAATATTTCCAAGGTGGGTATCATGACAGACAGTGATTAAAGCAGAACCCTGGAGCTGACTATCTGGGCTAAAATCTGGGCTCAGTTATCTATTAACCATGTAACCTTTGACTGGTTACTTAATTTCTCTATACCTCATCTGTATAATGGGAATGGTAGCCTCACAGGGATATTGGAAAGATTAGAAATTAATTCTTGTCATTAGTGTTATCATCCTCTTGATCACAATTAGTATCTACATTTTATATCTGGTCACTTATTTTCTCTATCTGCTCATCTTTAAAATGGGAATGATAACCTCACAGTGATATTGTGAAAATTAGAGTTAACTCTTATCATTAGTGTTATCATCCTCTTTATCACAATTAGTATTACAGTTTATAGATGAAGAAACTGAGGCACAGAAATGTCATAGAACTTGTTAGTGATGGATCCTATTTTAAACATGCTGCATTTGAGGGACAACCTTAGTAGTCTACAGAGTAATACTGTCCAATAAAAATATGAGCCACATGTATAATTCAGAATTTTCTAGGCCGAGCACAGTGATTCAAGCCTGTGATCCCGGCACTTTGGGAAGCCGAGGTTAGGGGATTGCCTGAGTCCATGGGTTCAAGAACAACCTGGGCAATTTGGCGAGACCTCATCTCTACAACAAATCAAAAAATTAGCCGGGTGTGGTAGCTCATGCTTGTAGTTCTCGTTACTTGGAAGGCTGAGGTGGAAGGATTGCCTAAACCCATCAGGTCGACTCTGGGGTAGCCATGAGCATGCCACTGTACTCCAGCCTGGGTGACAGAGTGAGACTCCAACTAAATAAAAATAAATTCTAGCCGGGCTCGGTGGCTCAGCCTGTAATCCCGTGTCTTTGGGAGACTGAGGTGAGTGGATTGCCTGAGTCCGCGGGTTCGAGACCCGCCTGGGCAGCGAGACCTCATCTCTACAATAAATCAAAAAATCAGCTGGGCGTGGTAGCGCGTGCCTGTAATTCTGGCTACTCAGAAGGCTGAGGCGGAAGGATTGCCGGAGCACAGCAGGTCGAGGTCTGGGCGACTGAGTGAGACTCCAACTCAAAAAAAAAAAAAAATTAATAAAAAAAAAAGATAAATAAATAAATAAATTCTAGAGGACACATTAAATTTTTTTTAAAAAAACTCAGGTGAAATAGATTTCAGTAATATATTTTATTTAACCTAGTAGGTCCCAAATACTATCATTTCAACATAAATGTTTTTCAATATAAATGTAAGTTACAGCTGGGCATAGTGGCTTATGCTTGTAATCCCAGCATTATGGGAGTCCGAGGTGGGAGGATTGCTTGAGCCCAGGAGTTTGCAACTAGCCTAGGCAATGTGGCAAGACCCTGTCTCTACAAAAAATAAAAAAATTAATTGGGAGTGGTGGTGTGTGTCTGTACTCCTAGCTACTCAGAAGGCTGAGGTGGAAAGATCACCACAGCCTGGGAGGCTGAGGCTGTGGGGAACCATGATTGTGCCACTGTACTCAGCCTGGGAGACAGGGTGAGACCTCAACTCAAGAAAAATAAATAAATATAAGTTAAATACTATTGTGTTTGATATAAAATTATTAGATATTTTACCTTTTTATACTAAGTCTTTCTAATTCTGGGGTATGACTTTGTACATGTAGCACACATTTCCATTTATATTAGGCACATTTCAGATATTTAGTAGGGACATGTAGATAATACAGTTACAGAGATTGAGTTAGGCTGAGGTTGGAAGTAGAGATTTGCAGATTAAATTTGAGTTAGAGAATGTGAGACCAAATAGTAAGCTTTGGGTAATATCTTCTAAGAATTGGGTAAATGACATGGAACTAGGCAGAGAGATAGGAGGTGTAGTGTAAAGGCTCCGGGAAATGTGGAGTTACGGGAAGATGTCTCCATATAGCTATAAGAATAGTAAAGAAAAACCTTGGAGCCTCCTCTTAGTCTGACAAAGCATCAGATGTAATGAATATCATTCTTTATCTGATTAAATCTTTCTCCAGTGGGACCAGTTCTTGGGGGAACATGTTGGTTGTGCTGAGGGAAATTTGGAACACTCAAGCCAGACCCCCAGGTATCATTCACCCGTTGTATAGAATCATGTTGGGCTGAATTGCTTGGACCTGACTTTTGGAGTTGGGTCCTACTGACTGCTGAAGAGTCTGAAACCTAGCATGACATTCAGAATCATATACAGTCTCATTCTGGTTTGCTTTTGCATTCTCCCTTCCCACCATTCCCCAGATTTCCATGGCTTCAGCCCAACTTTCCTTCCATACCTTATATCCTCATGGTTTTACATAAGCCTTTCCTTATGCCTGGGATGCCTGTTGTCCTTTATTGGGGGCTGAAATTTTCAGAGCCTTGGGCTGTTTTACCTGAATTCTGTGAAATGTGTGGCCCTCATGTGTACATAGGTTCTCTTGCACATGGGCTGAATTGCTTGTGCACCTCTGTATTATGTTGCATTGTCTCTGCCATTATCATGTATCA